AAACAGCAAGACACTTGAATAATTGAATACTTTTTTGCAATGCAATGAATGGATTATTTGATGTTTTCACTTCTCTGTTCGTCCATCCATGGCTGTGAATTACCTGGAGTTAACGGGCATGCGGCAGGGTACAGAGTCCCGGATGCAGGAGCCAGTGCCTGGGTCAGCGGGTTCCACTATGACAAAGGGCCTCTCCTCCAATGTGACCACTCGAAGATGTTGGGAGTCATCCAGGGGCTTCAAGAAAGAGCCATAGCGAGACCAGGGGTGATACCGTAGTCGCAGGTGTCCATTCTCCCACCAGCCAACCTGTAGAGCATTCAAACCCACAATCAGCTAATTTCAGGACATGTAGCTGCAAACATCTGGTCACTTCTATATTTGTATGTTGGTTTAAAATATAGTGCAATATAATTAGAAAATGTTGAAGTTCCTTGTTCACGTCATCTCTAAGACTGAGACTGGGTGCCTTATGTTGAAAACTCATTTCAAGCAGCTGGTATAAAGACACTGCAACAGCTAATGACAAAAACTGAGAGTTCAAGCTTGGACTGATTGAGAAAAGCTTTGCCCTCCAGGTTTGCTCCTTCTTTGCCATAACAGTGTGACCCCGCATCAAATGAGCCTCTTCATCTCATGCTTTATTTTACCACAGTGTCTCTGGTAAACAAGAACCAATGTCAATCCCACTTTTCCACAGTTTTTCCTTCAAAAAACGATTGCCTTGTATATTCGCACATACTTGGAAACTGAGCGTCAGCTGAAGGTTGAGGAGGCCGACACAACATCATATTCAAAAAGCAGAGCTACTCAAACCAGACGCCCTGCTTAATTCAATTCAATTCAATTCAATTTTATTTATATAGCGCCAAATCACAACAAAAGTCGCCTCAAGGTGCTTCATAGATACAGAGAAAAACCCAACAATCACATGACCCCCTATGAGCAGCACTTTGGCGACAGGCTTACACCGTTTACTTTCTCAGATCCCATCTCTAAAGATTATTGTGTAGTTCAAATAGAGCTGAAAACACAGGTCATCTATGATAAAATGCAACCATTTCTGACTTTGTGTGAAGAATATTGAAATAGTTATACGTCTGCAATACTAACACTTAGTTTCATTTTAAAGGGAAACTCTTGATTTGTCCCCAGGATGCCCCTCCAGAGGTCAAATTCAATCGCATTGTGGAAAAGTAAAATGACCAACAATTTCAAACCACTATAACGTTCCATTGTTCCAACCCCAAGTATTTTGAAATTTGGGGTGTTTTTGTGTCCCAGTGCTTTATTTGCACATGATTTCTCCTCCTTTGTCTTTGGTGCATGTCATGTCATCTAATGACACAGTAAAGTCTGTTTTAAAAATCAGGGCATGTCCGATGTATTATATTTCCCTCCAGTCTTTGGATGCACAAAGTAGCGATTCAGAAGTAGTTAGTGCTCATCTGCCATTGTTCATGTTAGTTGAGTCGTTACGCACAGTCAGTTGAATAGAGTTTGTATACATTTGTGCTGTCATTATGAACTGAGTTTTATAGTTTGCTACTATCCTGTGTGCATCCATTGTAGGGCTGTGCGATATGACCAAAATCTCATATCCTGATATAAGACATCTATCGTCCCGATAACGATATAAATCACAAAAATGTAACATTTTCTGTAAATTCTGTGAATCTCGGGCAGCTCGACTTGCGGGAAGTGTTTCCAGTTGCGCGTCATGTAGCTGGAGTCCAGTGTTTTAATCGATGCATGAAACTATAGATTTTTAGACATAAGTTGTAACGGCCGACGTTTTCTTTGTGAGTGTTTATTACACGGCGTGCTGCGGGGAAAAGCCTGTTCTAACGTTTGAGTCTAAGGTTTATTTTTTAGCACCTGGTGGCTTTTTTACTTCTCATCCGTAAATAATCTGCTTTTTCACGCGATTCAGTTTATTTTGAAAAGTCTCAACAGGATCTTGAGCTTTATTGTGAAAGGTTTATGTGGAACATAAATTAGCGGACACGCGATGGTGTTACCGTTGTTGTTGCTAAACACAACGCATAAAACAGGCGCTTGTCCATCTGTAGTGTGGTTATATTAAATATAAGAGAAAGAGAGAACTTTAAGAAATTAATATAGCCGCTACAGTGACCAACAAAACGATGAAAAAATATTGCTGTAAACAGTTTATTTTGCAACACCACGAAACAAACGATAGCGTAAAATGAAACGATAGATGTGTTTATATCGTCATCCGATATATATCGTTATATCGAACAGCCCTAATCCATTGAGTGTGTGAGCCCAGTGTCTATATTTTAAATGCAGCATTTCAAATAACAAATAATATTTCCAATCAGAACATTTATAAACAAAGACAAAATTAGTTCATTTCGTCAATAACAGGCCTTTTATCACAAACCAAAAATGTTATCTGTGTCTCTGATTTGAATTTCTGTCTCTTTCCATAGAGAAACACTTGAAAAACCTGCACTTACATCATATCAGTAGTTGGTACATTGCTCCAGCCTTCATTGGGTCATCTTATATTATGTGCACTTATAACACCATCACATACAGTTGCCATTGTGACTATGCCCTGCTCAACTTCATCGCCTCCTCCTTGAGACACCTTTTTCATAACATAACACTTCGCAAAAATAATGATTTCTTCAGACAATGTCTACCAGTCACTGCACCCAAAATGCTTTGCAGGATCGATCATCATACAGAACATTGATTTTCTACCCTTCTCTTGTCAATAATTTGACAATAATCCCACCACTTCTTACAAAGCTTTTAAAATCAATATTTAGAATATTTGATTTTCTTTATA